ATTGGAGATTTTTTTTTGTATTGCCAACAAAATGGTAAGACACTCTCATTTCCATCTCTACTCATACCACTGCTAGCAAGGCGGCCAACAAAACGTACAGAGTAAAGTTATATTTAGATCCACAAGCAAAATCAAGGACCTTCTGCATTTGTTCAATGGCTCAGGGAAACTAGACAAAACTTGATAGAGATGGTGGTCAATGTTGAAGTACATTACTGTTTCAGACATTAAGTCTGTTTTAAAATTATACAATACAAGTGAGACGTTTCTTGCAAGAAACCAAAAGGTCCAAAATTCCATATTTTGAGATATTTAATGAAGTTATTTTCTACTGCTGGGCCAACACATTTCAACAAGTGCCCAACACGTAGACAGATATAAGGGGAGGGAAATAAAATGTATTACTAATCATGTACTACGCTACGAATTTTTTAGTACCTCTTGAAAACATTCGAATTTGTACTACTTTGGTTCTTGTAAGAAAACATTAAAAAACCAATGCATATAATTGTTAAAATAAATTTTCTTTCTTTTTCTTTTTCTTTTTGATGATCAGTGTAGTTCCTAACTGTATAGGAACAGTAATGCAGCAGTAAAAAATATTTTACTTTTATCTTGAACTTGTGTTTTGATTTTGATTTTTTTAATGTCAACTACCAATGTATTGTAAAGTAACATGTACTCTTACTGTGTCGATTTCTTTAAGTGAGATGTTTATACTCGTACTTAATGAATGATTTCTACAACGAGTGTTGTAATTATAAACCTATCACATGGAATCAGTATTGCATGCAAATATGTTTCTACTGTTAAATAAGTCAGTTATGACGAACTACGGATTTATCAATAAATAGGTAAGGCAATGATAATATTCCAAGCTAAATGAAGATAGGTTTGCTGAAATCACATGGATGGCCTTGTTTTATTATTCAAATATATTTGTAAGAACTGGGTACTGTAGTATGAGCTTTAACAGAATATTATGCCGTATCTCAGAAGGGAATGTTCATTTGCAAAATATGATGAGCTGCACGGAAGCTAAGAGAATTTGAAGGAATCCTGAATACGTAACTTAATGAAAATAATTTAGTATTTAATTTTGGTATATGTATATTCTATTTGAGGCAAGACAATGACAAACTCAGAAATTGTTAAATTCACATGAGCTTGTTACACATTGTTTATTTTGAATGACGCATGCGATAACCGATTGTAAATGCAAAATTGTATTAAAAATTGTTTTTAAATTATCTCGTTATTATGAAACCAATTTGAAACTTGAGAAATCGTACTATTTGTATAGCTTCTTTTTGCAAAGAACATTCATGTAATCAGAGAATAAAACAGTTGTTCCATTTTTGATGGACGATGGAAAATCGTTTGCATATAAGAGAAAGAAGATAGGACCTGAAATCGAAACTTGGAGGATCCCATGCACAATTGGCCAAGAATTGGAAAGAAAGGTAAACGTTCATTCCTGACAGAACGGTATTTCTACTTTCTGAGATCGTCGTTTAAGGTAAGAGTTTATCCAATCTACGGCAATACCAGCAATTCCGTATGAAAGTAATTTTGAGACCAAGATGTTACAGTCAATAAGATCAAAAGCTTCTTAAACATCTAAAAACATTACAATAGGACAATCTGTAAGAAAATGCTCCAATTTGCAGTCAGCACACACAATATTTATTCGATTTGAATTACTCCTGGAAGGCTGAAGGAAGACCTCAGTCATTACACTAGGTTTCCTCTATTAATGGTGTGGGAATGTGATTGATTCAAAAGTAACGAAGTTGTCTATTTCTAAAGACAGCTTCCTTTTACTAAGTAAGAATGTTATGAGGGGGACTTTTAGCTATTAGCAGTAAGACAGACAAATCTGATTCGTCCTGAAGTTCTTGTAACTCATTAATATGAAGAGTAAAAGCCAATTAATTTTTGTTGAGGGGCAGCTTAGGCTGCGTGTCATTTAAGATGGGCTTCAAATTGACGTGGAATGTTGTGACAACATCAACAATATTAATTGCCTCTAAGAGCGTTTTGAAAATTTCATTGATTTTTTTTCTATTTTAAAATGTTGACATTGAAAACTGAATTTCACACCACAAGCAAACGGAATCACCTAAACATTTTTTTTAAAATTACAGTTGCACTTTAAATGAAACAGAAATCACGATTACACAGTCATTGCTCTTATAAAAAAATGTTAGGGCAAACAGAAGGCAAATTTCATACTTACATATACTTCACTGCAAAGCAGGTCTGATGTGGGCAACTAGAGGACAGCATCTAACACGCAGTGAACAGCTCGCGAACGAACATCGTAGCACACGCATTTCAACAGCCGTTGATAATGAAACAAACAATATCACTAGAATTAGAATAGTTTCAATTTAATTGCCCTGAAAAGAAACGGGGCGATTATTATTTACCTAGAGTTCAGTAAAGATATTAAGATGCTACTTCCCTACAAATAAACTAATGAGTGAACATCAATACAATTTATTAAAATAGCCCCTAATAAATTAATGATACCGTTGATCCATTTCCAGTAAGAATTGCAAATATCACTAGAACTAATATTTGTGAAAAAAATATTCCTGGGATTGCAAAATTACATTTTGACACCCTAACAATTGTATATGAAGGATCGCGATTAGTAATTACAACTAGAAAATTAATTTCGAAATCTGTGGCAATTTCTTTACCACTGTACTCAAATCAGTACCAAAGGTACCAGGTAGAGATTCGCGTAGTGCGGTCGATAATGGAAAAGTGCACTGTTTGCATGCAGATGGCTCAGTAGGGCGAGATGTTACGGAATCCTTCGTACAAAACACACATACACACACACACACACACACACGATATAAAGTTTTACTCAATTGTCTCATGGCTTCTCCAAGAACATACGTAGCACTTAAAGATGGTCTTGCTGGCGAAATTAGACTCACAGCATCAACCTGGAATCACAAAGTATTAATGCATCCCTTCAGATTTTAGAAAGGTCTCAAGTTTCGAGGCACAATCAGAATAAGAGGAGCAGTGGATTATTTCAAGTTTCGGAGACAAAATTCTGCTCTCACATGGATTTTGAATAGCTTTCCGACGAAATGAGTCTAGTCGCTGTTTCTAATGTATCTAAGGTGAGATGGCATTTCCATCTTTTACAGTCAAATTTCCACCTGAAAAATTCAAAAAGTACAAGGTATTAATAAATTGATACGCAGAGGATTCAACATTATGGGCCAAAATTCATTCATCTACCACAAAGTGTTACGCATGGATGAATGCGAAATCTGAGATCAAGTACAGAGCCTCCCTTGCATATATGTAGGGAACTGAGAAAGTGCCTTCAATAAGGGAATGATACAAGCAGTCAAAAAAAAAACACCACATTCATCACGGACTGATAGTGGTTTCTTCATTGTCATTGTAAATTTTCGGGTCCAAATGCATAGCTTTCACATTTCATTAAGTGCTTCGAATTTGTGACTCATGTTGAGGCATTTGAGTCATTTTCGACCTCTCAAAATCAATGGTTTCGTTAAGTTCACTCGTTCCATCACCATACCTGAAAACAAAGACAACGTTGGAAACATATTCAACATGTGTAAAGGAATTGTGGTGTGATATATCGATAACAATCCAGTCTCAAATTTCCGACGCAACCACCCATGTGTGAACCGCCAAGGTGCTTCAGTTGAGATGATTCATCCAGATTATGTACTACATTCTATAAAAGACAAATTATGAAAAATATTATATATTTATTGCAGTTATTAATTATAGACTATGGTTAAAGTACAGAATACGATACCTCCTAAAGATGCTTGCATATTTCATTAAGTGCCTTGAATTTGTGACTTCCTGCTCTCAACATTTTCAAACTATGGAAGGTGGAATTATTTTGTTTAGCTCACTCATTTCATTAATTAATCCTGAAAACGAAGACCATAACTTTAGCAACATATCCAACATACGTAAATGCATTTAGTTAGTAAAGTTATATATTAATAAACAATTCACCAATAACAATTAGTGTACTCAACTGAAATATTAATAAATACTCGACCTTTAATTGCTGGACATTCATTTGTACAGGTTCCAGTAATTTTGCATTTCAAACAGCTGCAAATTGCTCTTCAACGAGTTGAAAAACTGAGCAGAACGCTTTGCGCATATAACACGTAACTGTTGCTAGAAACAATCAAAAGTATCAATAGTTTATTGTTACTGTACTGTAATTGTTAGTACTGTACAATAACAGCAGATTTAGCTTAGGTAACAGATTGTTAATGTACTGTGCTGGTAAGCAATATCTCAAAATGAAACCAATCTTGGTAATGTACGTCATAAAATCTTAACACAAATTACGTGTGAAAATATCAATAGTATTTCCCTTTACACATCTCTAAAGACGGAGAAGCAGGAAAATCAAACTTGAATCGCCTCGAGTTCCTTAAAGCTATCTGAAATTTATGAAAAAAAAAACTTAAGACATTCAACAGAAACGACTTCATCTACGTTGTAGGATTTCCAAATTAACCATGAATGTCGTCGTTTTCAATACCTCTCGAGTGAGAATGAACTTCCAGCTTCAGAAGTTGCATTTAAATGCAAGATACCTGAAAAAAGCTAACACATTGATTACTTGTATGGACAATATTGAGATAATTAGAAGAAAAAATACTGTACTATACTGATTAAGAATTATCATCGCCTCAATCCAGACATTGCCGCCCAAAAGTGAGCCTTTTAATGCAACAAGGTCCCATTGTTATCACTAGCTCCGGGACATTCCTCAAGACTCGTCATACCTGAAAAAAATCATAAATCATCAAATGTTTTTCAATATATCAATAGAAGTGTCAAAATATACTACAGTTAAAGATTACTTACGAAAGTCCGTATCACCGAATTTCCGAAAAAAGTCTCCCAAACTGCACATTTCCGAAGCTTTGGAGACTTGATACTTGCAGTTCTCACATGTCGCATGAAATACAAACTACATGAAGAGTACTTGAATGGCTATGTGGAAAAGCGTTTTGACAATACTGAAATATTTTGAATATTAGAAACTCTGCACTCCGTTTATATTAAATATTAATTGCTTTAACAGCAGAAACGACTATTTCGTGATGAATTACGGCTTTTTTCAGTGTTTTTCATGTATGAAATATAAACCACCTGAAAAATAACATACATTTATTAATTTGAAAACCTACGTATACTTACATAAACAATATTTCAACACAAAAATGAACAAAAAATTATCCTACCTACTACATTTTACTCATTGTGGAATTTCGTACAATCGATGCATTTTCTGCATCGTAGAATAGCGATCTAAAACAGGATTGGCACCTTAGCCTCTCACGTCTTGTGAAATTGAAGCTACGCTAGGACTTTCTAAAACATGGTTTTAATATAGGAACATTGTCACATTTTTACATTAATACAATATTACATGTAATTTTTATTTAGTGTCCCGCATCGCAGCATAGTCTGAGCAGAAGCTTGCACTTCCGTTAATCGTTGCCAGAGATGCAGCCATCATGAAAAATAGCGAAAAATACTACTTACTTGTTAGACAAAATGCTGTACTTTGAATATATTGATAAAAAAATTCTTCGAGAATTGTTTTCCATAATATTTAACAAAAAATCTGGGAATATATCATAGAAACAAATACATGATGCATGTTTTGTAGATCACATGCCACATCCTCACAAACATTTTACTGAAAGAATACTGATTAATGTAAGGATAACGATTCTTAGGGAATTCATTACAGTCCTCGCAGTGATTTCGAATCGCTCATCGACGATATCCAGCCCAGCCGCTATAACTATTGCCAATGTATGACCTGGACATCAGTGTACGAATTCCATCATTCTCTTTCCATGAGAAATAGTCCACCTGAAAAATACAAAAGTAATAGGTATTATTAACATCAGTAATGGATGCATAATTCAACAGCATTATGGAGTCAAAATTCATTCAAGCATCACAAGGATGAATGCGAGATGGACTTATGTGCCGGGATTTCCAAGCTTCTGAGACGGGAACAATATCAGTGAATTAGAGTGCAAGGTGCCATTAAATCGAAAACGATCACCACCGATTTATAGTTTCTTCGATGTTCTACGTAGCTGTCATATTTCAGTAAATGCCACTAACTCGTGACTACTTGCTCTAAACGTTTTGAAACTACGTTGAGGTAGTTTAATTCCGTTCACATGTAGCATTAAATGCAATCCCTGAAAACAAAGAATAACAACTAACAACATATCCGACATTGTGAGTAAACGCAGTGCAATTTTTTAAAATTTATAAATAAACCTGTAGCACTGGATTTCTGTCGTAATTACGGAATTTGTTATCTTCAGTGCACCTGGACTCAGATGGTTCCTCCTGCTGATTTGCCCGTTCCACGAAATGCCATTCCATGTAAAATACTAGACATTACCGTTATAATTCTACTAAAAATGTTATGCAAAAAGTTTTTGGAGAAAATTGATTGAGAACTTACGTGATAATTATTAAGAAATCCGAAGCATTTTTCCATTTTTTATTATTGTTTTGGTGTTATTTCCAATATATCACCAATAACATTTCGTGAACTTAACTGAGAATTCTGAATTGTCCCACATTCACTTATGCAGACTCCAGTAATTGTTCATGTCAAACATACTATAAGGCCACACAGCTTCAACCAGGGTTCCATACCAGAGCAATACGCATTGGTAATATGACACACGTATTAGATGTTTCAATACTTCCACCAGATACAATTTTGTTGTCATTTCCTTTGGCTCACATTAAAATACGGACAGTTGTTTGGTTTACTTCATCCATGAAACTTAATTCTACAAATATTGGGAATATAAACGAGTTGTAATTATGCATTAGAAAACTAAGTTGCAACAGACGCTTTTATATCCATGATGTTCAAGGGGACAGACAGAACCACTTAAACATTCACAATAACTCAGAGTATACCAATAAAATTACGAGAACTTAATAATAGAAAATTACCCTTTATGGAAGTTCGTAGTAATATACCAGCTTTAAATCTTAACACATTTAGTCTGTACAATACGAAAATATCAATAGCGAAAATATAAAAGCGTATTACTCAACCTCTACAAATGTGTACTCAAAATTCATAAAAGCAAATTGTCCGAGAAAAATCAAAAAGTCTTTATGAACATGAAATACGGTTTCTTCTACATCTATCTACAGGCACATTCACTTTCGTTGAGATTAGAGGTTCTACAAATTGAAGTACTTTGCGTATTAAAACGCATTTTCATTGAGCGTTTCAAGAGAAATCTCACAGTAAAACAAATAATCAAAACGAAATGCCTCTTTCATAGAATAGCTTTGATTATTTATCATATAGGTTTGGCCATTTTTATCCAAACCATATTTAAAATATTCTGTGTACTTCGTTAATAAAACTCGCATATGCAGCCTCGAGCCACGTAATGACCTAGTGTCTGCACATTTTCTCTGAAGGAGACCAACGAACTCCAACGATTTCCCCAAATTACGGACAGCACATGCCTTAATTCTATCAAGACGTTATCAGTAACGATTTTTCTTCACTGAAAAACTTATTCTTATCAGAAATACTGAGAAAACACGACATTAGCAAACTTGTTGCGTGGAACGTTCTCTTACTATGTTCTGAAACTTGTTACAAATTACAAGGTTACGTTTTGTGAAGAACTAAATGCCTCGTTAACATTATATTAATACAATCAAATAACGCAACAAAGCAACAACTTTACGGAACTAGTTTGCTAATATTTGAATTCTTAACAGCTGCAAAGGTTGATGAAAACCATAGCAAGATCTAGCATTTTCTTAAAATATTTATTACTTTTTTAAAGATAATATGCCTTTTCTCTCCACTTTCGAAATATAAAAGCTTAATGTTAGTCGTAGAACATAAATCTGAAAGCGAAGTCCTTATGTCACTTAGCCGTTCACATTAAAAATACTTTTCAGGGTCAACGTTGGGTAGAAATTGACAAGCCAACATTCGTAATTTAAAGAGCAACTGGTAAGCAAAAGTTTAAAAAATATTAATTTTCTTACCTTAAGACAAGTACACATTACAGGTGAGACCATCGAGAGGCATTGCAAATATTTATCAATCTTCTTAGTTGCTTTCGGATTACTTCAAATGCTCCAAGCTGGAACAATGTCCAGTGCGCTCTGCATTATTTGTTTGTCTGAACAGACCCACTATCTGCCTCTGTGGCCTTCTTGGTTCCGAGTATTTTGTGCAACTCGCTGGAAGGGCAGCGGCGGAAAGAGCAGCTCAAATCCTTTAGAAGCCCCTGTATCTTGAAGATTACGTCCTCCTTCGAACACGCCTGAATCTCAGGCATTGTATAAGCGAAACGTGCTACCTGCAACGGAATAATCTGAAAGACACAAAAATTCTATCGAGGTACGCATTAAAAGCGTATACTATACGAGCGCCTGAACGCTTGTGTCTAACTCTCCTTTTCCGTTCGAGAATTTGACGTAGTTACCCGAGATGCTAGGGTTGGCCTCGCCGCAGTGGCATGAACGCGCTGCGTTTTTCAAAGTTTGCTGCGCAGCACAAATGAAGTTGACTTACGTTCTCATGGGTCTGGAGTTCAGCAGAATCGGTGTGTTTTCACTACGTGCGACATCCGCTTGCTCAGGCCAATCCCCAACTCCATTGAAGTCCAATCTTTTTCACGCCAGATCTAATCACAAATATGCAATTAAAAGCTGTGTATTGGTTGAAAAATAACCTTCAAACTTGTTTCGAGCGCACTGATGCAACTATTCAATAATTCAAAACTTAGAGGTTCAGAATTCCAAAACACTTGGAAACTACGTTTTTATTCCGATAATTGTTAATATAAACATTTTATCTACGTTATCGTTTTACGTGAATGACAACTAGAAATTATCAATTCTTGAATTACAAGTATATCTGGCCGCTATTGCTCAAATATTTCTTACATATTGGTTACGAACACTACTGTTCAAACTACAGGTATATTAAATACATATAAATAGTTTCATACTTTCCAAAGCACTGCAAAAAATCGAACGTTGCATATCCTCTTAAATAAAATAGAACCTACGGTAAAATTTATCAATTGACCAGGGATATCACATCATTCAGTAATCAACAAGAGCTTAACTGGTGATTTGGATTATTAAATTAATAATTTAAATTTTTTTCATTTTTTTACGAAGAATATTTTTTAGCATTTTGTCATCAATCACTTCTTCTAACAGAACCGTTCATGTTTATACCAATTCAATTTTCCCAATTCAATTTTCCACGACTAAGGCACAGAAAAATAATATACATCCGACAACAGCTAAGTATTGTGTAATATTAAATATTACAAATAAGATGATGCATCTACACCGTTTCTGTAATCTCTACTTGATAACCGCAAGCACTTGCATCAAACCGTCAATGGTTACGGCGAGATTGGTTTTACATTTTTCTTTAAATGCTATAATTTGCAGTGTATTATCTTAATTACTCTAATTAGAATACTCACTTTTAGATCACCTACATTCTATGGAATTTCAGATGCAACGGGGAATATTTTACACCGAAAAAATTGAAGCCAGAATCCATGCCGCCAATAGTACAAGAAGCGTTAATGACCGAAGCTTTAGTTCGACTGCGAAAAAGTGAAAAATTGTTGCTAGGTTCTGTCACTGTGGAACGCAGCGCTGCTGTAGGGACACCTGTATCTAGTAAGAACAAACTGGGCCTCGCAATAAAGTTGGATTACTAACACTTGCGGCATATTCATTTTAATCCTGTCCGAAATGCTACAAATTTAATTACATTTTAATGAATGTATATTTTTATTTTGTGCAAATTTTGACTTATTTTGCAGTTACGCTAATTAATGATAGCAAATTGACAGTCTCTGAATTATTTACGGATCCTGAAATTTGGCATATGTACTTGTATAATTTTCCAGAATCTTCGCACAAAATCCCTGATATCTATAATAACAAATTACCCTGTGCGTTGTCATCGACTTTGCGTTAATAGTTTCTCTTGCAAGAAACCCAATGTGTCCACGTGCGTGGCCTACAGATCCAGGAGCATACTACCATTTGGTGCTGTGTGTTTTGTACAAGTCCCTGGAAGCGCATCTTATGAAAGCAGTTCAGATTCCTTTGAAGCGTTTCTTTTTTGCTGCAGAGTTAGGTCCCCCTTCAAACGCGCCCCATTGTTAGGTATAAGCAATATAGCCCCATTATTGGTATAAGCAAACGAAGTCATCAGACTATGGAATAGTCTGAAACATGTCATTAAAACCAATACTAACGAGTTTTGCATTTGAAACACCTTCACTGCGACGTGTGTCAATATTGAGCGTTTTCGTTCGAGGGTTTACGTCAGTTACCTGAAAAGCTAGTGCCTCGCCCTACAGTGGCCTCCCCGCAGTGGCGATAACGCGCGGTGCAGTAAAGTTTTCGTGCGTTTGCAGAGCTGCTCAAATGAAGGTCGCGCCGTTTAGCCCGTGCCACGTCTACTTTCTATGACCAATTCCCCATTCGGTTCATCTCGGATTGTCTACTTCCGTAGGCCAGATCTGTTCATTAATATGCAATTAAACCCTGCGAATTGCTCGTATAAAACCCCTAAGAACAGTATAAACCTTTTGTTCCTAGCGCGCAGATGCAATTTTATATTTAATTGAAAATGCATGCTCAGAATTCCAAAACGTTAAGAAACTTTACTTTAGTCGTTGTGACTAGTCATGTAGTTTTAATTTTACCTTTTAATAAACTAGAAATCTATAAATTCTTGAATTATCTCCGTGGTCGCTAAAGCTCAAATCTTTTACCTACTGGTTAAGAACACTATTGCTTTCACTACAGATTACCTACTAGAAGATATATCCACTTTAAATGCACATCAGGGAACATTTGTGAAAGTGGTTTTCTACGAAATTAGTTTAATACATCTGTAGATCCAACATATTCAGGAAGGCTTCTGAAATAAATGGTGAAAACCCAGAACACTGTTGCGCGGTTTAAATGCAGGATGGTAAATATTTCAATGTCAAATATTTCGATATTTTCCAAAACATTTTTAACAGTCGAAAGTAAATATTCACTCCTTGATAAAATCAGAACATACTGCAAAATTTGTATAAAATTTAGTATACGGTACACCCTTAGAGAAGCGTGGTGGCGGGGCTTAAGCTCTAAATAATATTCGTGCTCTAATAGAAATGAATAAAACTTACGGATAGGCAATTTGCATGGTTCGCCCTTCATATGCTTTGTCCCCGCCGCATTGTAACGCCAATTTACTTTCTACGGCAAGTTTTCTCGCTTCGCTCGCCCCGATCCATGTCACGGCGAGACTCGGGCCTTCGGCCCTCGCGTTCACTGCAAATATCCTTGAGTCTATCTAACGCATAAGTACCAATTCACTTTTATAAGACATCACTGTTCAAGAAAGCCTCAAGAATTCTGCCTAGTTAACGCTGGTACGGCGCGAAGTGCCGGTTTAAACCACTTCCTTAGTTTGTACCGTATACTACATTTCAACTCAAAATTTAGTTAATTGAAGAGAAATTTCACACTTTGCACTAATCTGTAACTTTTATATTTATTAATAAAAATACTCTCATGTTTATATTTTTATGAATAATACCTGTTACCTCCTAGTTATTCATGTCTTGGGACAGAGTTACATATGTTGAATATTACACATCTGACGGTGACACAGTTTCAACAATTTCTACTTAAAAACCGTAATCATGTGCATTAAACAGAAATTGGTATTGGCGAGTTTGGCTCATCATAAAAGCTTCCGTTTTTAGAAACTATTATCGAAATACTTACGATTTCTAATTACATCCATTCATCCATCATCAGTATGGTATTTTAAATGCAATGGGGAATATTTTCCACTGGACAAAAATGGAGGGCTGAAGTCCGAATCCAACCTGAATCAACGCCGTCACAGGTACAAGTATCTCGAAGATCGTAACCTGATAGTTACTTAGATGGTCTGCGAGAATCTGAAAAGTTGCTAGAATTTTCCGCTGTCACTGCTGTGGCGCTGCTGTAGTGTATTATGGCGGCGCTGTTGTGACACCCGCGTTAAGTAAGAACGACGAATTGAGCATTAAAATAAATGTTGGGGTTTTAATCCTTGTAGCATATACATTTTCATTCTAAAAATGGTTATAGTCTTGATAAATGTATTATTTTTGCTGCTGATGAATTTGGTGGTTGATGAAAATAAGAGCGAATTTGAAGCTTCAGTTTTAATAGCCAACTTATACCAACATTGTCGAAATGGTATCAAAAATAGCCCCAATTTTAAAAAAAATTAATTTTCATAAAAAAAGTACATTCAAAACATACATTCAAAAATTCATCACAATTCATTTTCTAAAAAATAGCCCAGATCCTATTTTCCTTGAAGTTTGCTTTTCGAAAACTGCAAAAATTCAGAATTTTTTCGGCATTTTTCTACTGACAAGCAAACAAACAAACGTTTTGCCATAAACCAATTTTTCGGTATTAAGGATCCACAAAATGTGACTTACCTGCCCCTACATGAGACCACTGTATTATGTATTAAAATATTCCACATCATTAACAAATACCCCCTATACAACAAACACAGACAAACATACCTTCAGAATATGAGCCCGGATTTAATACTTACATTTGCTGACTATCAAGATAGAGTGATCAAATTCTGCTAGGATATAAATATATTCATTGAAATTTAATTTAAAAGTGTACTAGCGATGTAAGTTATATCTGTAGTATACAATTATATGCTGCGACCCAATGAAGTATGAGTGTGAGTATCTGTATTAGTTGTAATGAATCTGAATGTCTGTAACTGGTTAATATAAAGTATACCAAACTGTGTTGTGTTGTACATACCTACCAAAATTGTCCAAGTAATGTACAGAAGCAAAGGTGGAACAAATGTTAACGGAGGTCAAAATATGTTAAATCTAAGCATTTCAACCGTATCTGTAGCCTATATTAATTAACAATTAATATTAACTATTGTTAAATCAATGTACCAGTTTTGAGTCGCTAATGTCCTCAGATGTCGATGCGACTATAAATGAATGAACAAAAGGTAAATTTTGTCTAGAAAACGTGTTAGAGGAAGATGAGTTAGAAGAAGCATATGGAAGCAATATTTTAATTTTTCGATATCAGTCTCACAAAACAGTTTTTTCTGACCATAAAATCGCCATTTTCTTCTGGAGCATTACAATCCTTTTCTTTACTAGGTAATTTCATAGTAAGTGAGGAAGTAAAAATGCCAAGAAAAGTACACAAATACTGCAAAATACTCATGCATTGGGGAGTATTCTTACTTCTGAACTACACAATTTCTAAATCACAGTCTTCGCCAGTTTTATCAATGCACATTTTAGAACTAAAATACCTACTCAGGAATTTTAAGCCAAACACCATGATCTCGAAAACTGCTCCAAACTATTTCTTTACATTTTTTACACGGATAATGAGATATCCGCTGATAACCATTATATCATTGCCACTTTGATGTGTTCTTTTGATTTTTTTAAAATTATACTAAAGTACTTTTTTAAATACAAGTCATTAATATTTACAACACATACCTATATTTCTTATCCATTATTGTACTTGTGAATGCAAGAGCTTTAAAAATCCATTGAAGTTTTCTAAAACTCAAATATTTTGTGTGAAAATGAGCTCAAAATTGCGCATATTCTGAACATTTCAAGGGACATTTTCTCAAAAAGAAATCAAAAATTTACAAGAAGAGTTTGCACCATATGACCACAGTTTTACTCTATATTCTTAAAGTAATATTTCAGTTCTATCATTAAGTACCCCAAAATCGACGAAAAATATGTCTTTTAGACTGCAATAGACGGCAGCTACGACGAGAGTAGGGATAAAACTAAAAAGCTAACCCAGACTAGAAAGATTAGAAAAGTAACTTGAACGAGAAAATGCGAGCCATTCTGTAGAACGTCGAGTTTGTTTTAAACTATGAGAGTAAGAAAGAAACGTTTTGTACGGGCGCACTCGCATAGCCCTCAGCGGAGCAACAGTGCTCCAGCACACAGAGCAACCTGTGTTACTGGGACGCGAGCGCGAGCAGCGGGCGATTCCCGCACCGACCGCTTTGATCCGCGCGTGCGGTCGCGGACCGCTTCATATCCGGCCGCGGGGGCAAGAATTCGCTTGTGTCACACGCGCCTTTCGCCGTATTGAAGGGCGCGCGTCTCATCCGGTCGGTCTGCTATTTGTCCTCGCGCGCGCCTCAAACGGCGACCTGTGCCCTCACGGCCGTCGCTCCCGCTGACCGATTCTCCCCCGCCGCCGCCGCCGCCGACGTCGCACAAGCGCTCGGTAATAACCTTTCTGAGTGGAACGCGAAGTTCACACAGCTTTGCGCAATGGGTGCCATACGAGTAACCGACAGGTCTCCAGGCATGTTTAGTAGAAGAGTGCACGTTAGTGTACGTGTGTGTAAGGAGTAGCATTGGACAATGAATTGGAAGGAAAGGACCGCGCAGTCCGTGACCCATTTTTAGGGTACTACTTCGGCATTCGCCTTGTATTGATCGGAGAAACCACGGACAACTCGCCATTAGCTAAAGTGTGGGTAGGCCGACGTGAGTGGAGCCAGGCTGGCCGGGTTATAGGGATAGGCCGGCGCCGATCGGTGGTGAGCGGGAGGGGGCTTGTCAAGTGAGCTGAGGACGCCCGGGGCTGGAATGAGCGAGGCTGGGCAGAAGACGGCAGGTGTGACGTGGGGCGTGGATGGAGCGTGGCTGGACGGAATGTTGTTGGGCGTGGGCCGTGCCTTCGCGTAAGGATGAATGCACGCGTGTTCTCGAGCACTTTATTCGAAGGAGGATATGCTTTCCGTAACTGAATAAAGAAGAGATACACTCGTATGTATGTATATATGTACTTTGGCGCCATAGTTTCTGACGAAGACTGGGCCTAAGAGCGGCGGCCCGGCCTTGTGGCTATGGGTCGGATACGTGTCGAGAGCACATAGACAGCCCCACGCCGCATTCTGGTCTTCTCAACATCAGAAGTAATTTTTGTCATCGTCACACAGCAACATATACTGGGACATTGAAAGGAAAATGCACACTATAACCCTGCCCAACCAGAAATCGAATCCGAATACAAGCGAATACTAGGATGTATTTAAAATTTTGGCAGGTGGGAGCATATTTTAATAAACAATACTTTCTTCTGACGGAACGCCCAATACTCTTAATCTACTAAAATGGTTAGTACAATTTAATATGTTTGCTTGTTTTCAGTTACTGTGATGTAGATATCTCCGGTTTAATTGACAGAAACAGAAAATCAGATGAATAAATTTTACATGTAAACCGTAGTGAATCTTATGTATTACTTACGCATACTCAAAGAAATACTGAATATACTTTTGTGTTATGTAATGAGTGACAGTTTTGCACAAGTGTTATGTAATGAGTGACAATTTGCGACAGTACAAAATTACTACTTATTAGAAATAGCAAATTATAAATTACAATAAATTATTATAATTACTTAATAAATGACAATACATATGCATATTATGAGTGTTGCGCTATTCTGAAAACACTTATTGAACAAATGAAGAACTATTTGTCTCTCATTCATATTATTCGTATTCAACGTAGTAATTCTTACCCATAGTAAAATGCTCATCTATTAGGTTCTTCATGACTCATTAAAGTCTCTGGTTTATTAAATTAATTTTCCTAGATTTGAAATATTTAATTGCTGCCCTTGTTCACGTCTCATATTTGTATATGGCGATTGGGTTTCATAATATGAATTCATCTTGATCTCCAATCATAGATATTCCTTAGTTCCCTATTGAGTCTGATGTCACCATTCTTCATTTGCATCATGTAGCGCTAAAGATATTATTTTTCACGTTTAAACGCAAAAACATATTTCGAGAGATTATTTAATGTTAGATTTTTATAGTGTACATTTACTCACGTTATTTCCCGATCATTTCTTGAAGATCTTTAACTCCTATGGGTTCACAGTGTCAAACATTTTTTATCCATTTTCTCTTCACTTCATTGTACACGCCTTAATTTATTTCCATTCCACGCCTCAACGTTCATCCCCTGGAACCCCTCGCTCGTCGTACTGTTATTCGTCGTTGATTCACATCCTTGCATTTTCCCTCTCGTTTCAGAGCTCCATCTTCAGCGTCCACATTTGTGCAACCACTCTCCTTCCCTTTTCCACCGGCGCCCACGCCCCAGCTGCCGTCTCATTCCCGCAACTCTCACCTCACGGCCCCGGCTCACTCTGCCTTGCCCCGCGCCGCCTCGTCCCGACATTCCGTCCAGCCACGCTCCATCCACGCCCCACGCCACACCTGCCGTCTTCTGCCCAGCCTCGCTCATTCCAGCCCCGGGCGTCCTCAGCTCACTTGACAAGCCCCCTCCCGCTCACCACCGATCGGCGCCGACCTATCCCTATAACCCGGCCAGTCTGGCTCCACTCACGTCGGCCTAGCCACACTTTGGCTAATGAGGAGTAGTCCGTGGTTTCTCCGATCAATACAAGGTGAATGCCGGAGTAGTACTCTAAAAAATGGGTCACGAATGGCGCGCGTCCTTTCCTTCCAATTCGTTGTTCTATCCTACTACTTACATGCATACTAACGTGCACTCTTCTACTAAACATGCCTGGAGAACGATCGGTTGCTTGGAGCTTGTCCCGGCTGGGACGATGCCTCGTTGGTGGGAGATACCTGGTTGGAGAAAACCCTACGGTAGGTTGGCACCAGAACTTGCCATCCAAAGGGGAATATTACCGCCACCTCCCGAGGAAAAACACACACACTACACTTACGCGACATCATTCGCTAATTCGCCGTCTCCTGTCACGTACCACTCCTCGCCGCCCCGCCTCGCTGAGCCACACCCCTTCCCGCTCAGTGTGTCTTGATCTCACCCACCCGCATCGTCGTGCTAATCCCCGCCTCCTTCACACCGCTTCGCCCCGCACCGTTCTTTGCTGCCCGTCTCGCTCAACCCACGTCCCGCTCCCGCAGCACAGGTCTACCAGCCCCGTCTCACTTTGCTCTCATCCCGCACCTCGTCATTCCCAACCTCCGCCTCGCTCGCTCATCCGCACTCCAAGACAGTTATTCCATCACGCAGCCGTTGGCTGGTTCGGCGTGGTTGCTTGGGTCGGTTGAGCCCGACATTCCGCAGTCGAATGCGGAAGCAGTTCTTGAAACGGAGGATCTTCTTTCCTCTTCTATGTCTATTGCATGCGCTTCCTTTACATAGTGCACTACACTACACACATAGCGAGAGAGCAGTCCGGGAGCTTAGAAACCGTGCCTCGCCTGGGCCGTGTCACCCATGTGGGAGAAAACCCCGCAGCCCACGTGTGGAACAGCGCCGGTGCAGGCTCAACGAGGAAGTCACCGCCACTCGCTGCCGGTGGCGACAACAATATCAGCAACTCTTCTCAGATCCTATAGTGTATATCGATGTGAATTCTTACTAGCGCAGCCCTATTAACCTATTAAATCAACAGAACATAAATATCTTTGGTCCTACGAATGAAATGTTACCCGACGACGCGTTCACGGACTTGGGCGGCTCGAGTCATGATGCGGATAGTGATAGATCATACGCTTCCTATTGCGTTTGGTAGTTGCCAGCACCTCCTTCACAGGGCTGCCTCAACCCATTTAGTGAAGGAAAAAAGCTCACATATTAATGGTAAATGGAAAAATTAAGGCACAGATGCAACCCATACGACATGCAACTCGCGTATCAGTGTCCTTTCTCGAAATGAAGCGTTCGCGGCTATTCAAATCAGGTTTCGGTCCTCGCATGCCGCTACTGCTCCTTCGTCAACAGCGTGTATGTATCTACGCGTAGGAGTACTGTCTTTGGCACCATGTGATTTTGACTCGCATAGCAACTTTCTGACGTAAGGGCGCCTTCGCACGCTCGCTCTCGCTACAAGAGAATGGTCTAGATTATAGGCGAGTGAATAAGTCCTGGGATAGCGCTCGAGTGGGCGACGTCTGGGTGGGCGATCGTGGACGCTCGTGGTGCGCCGCTGACGACCAATATCTGTGCAAAGAGCGCCTCAGTGCCAAGACGTGCCGCCGCGCCTGCGCCGCCGCTCGTCGCCGGGCCGCCACTGCCTGATACTAAGCCTTCCCCAACCTCTAATACTCTCCGGCTGGCCCCTTTCGGCTTCATGCGGCCGCCGCGGCCCCGCCCCTCCGCCTCAAAGCCACAGCGGGAAAGAGAGACGGTGGGCCAATGCGCGGCTGCGCTTAACGAAAACGCTTGCAGAATTCTGGGATAGTTACGGCGTTTAACGCGGCGAACAGAAAAAATAAATAACGATCCGTTCGGTATTTACAGTGCCGCGCGTTACACGTAGATAAGAGAAACAGTCCGAAACAAGAAATGAGCGCAGCTGAAACACGCGCGTACAATAGGACACTGTGGATTACAGAAATCATGATTACTTCTTTGCTCATGATTAGCTCTCTATACAGGGGTGTATTTGAAACTGGTTGACACCGGGCGAAACATTATAAACACAGATTGTTTTGTCATGCTAGCTAACCTCGCGTTTTTGTAAGTCAAATATCATATTTCAGCAATGAACTGAGTTACGCTCAAGCGACAGTAAGCAGTTACGCATCAGAGTTACGAAAAGCCATATCTTCCATAGGGGGTACTCTTTTTGGAATTTAAGTGCCGCGACCATTCTAAAAGACTCGAAGAGAATGTCTCCTGGAAGGAGGAATTCCGTAAGTCGGACGTGGTAGGTCGAACGGCTTTTCGCACTCAAGATCTACACCCACGCACGACAAACACCTGCACTGTAGGAAGCGAACGTTTCCCATCAGCCGATTCGCGTACCCATCGCTTTAAATAGTGCGTGCTTAGGTGGCTAGGCCATCGGCTGAGGCGTCACGTCAGGCCTTTGACCTAGCACGTCCTGGGGCTACTTTCGATACGACTCGTACTATCGAGCCGAGTCGAATTCAGCTTGCTGTGGGGCGGAGAATTCTGGAGGCGGCTTGCTCGAATCGAGGAGTTTTTTTTCGTGCTTTCTCCAATAACTCCAGGCGATGCGGCGGCAGAACCTAACAGAAAAGGCCAGGACCGCGCGGAAGGGGTTTCTTCCCTTCCTTGTCTCACCGACCTTACATACAGCCAACTTGCAAGCACTACACTAGCACAACACAACAGGGAGACGCAGTCGTGACGCTTGAGGGTCTGGCTCCATCCGAGACAGCTTGGTTGGAGAAAAACAAGCCTTCAGGAAAGGCGGATCTGAGCATCCGCGGGGGGGATCACAGCCGCTCCCGCGCCAAGATAAAATCGCGGCCTAGCAGGTGACGCCTTGCGAAGTCACTTGATCGAATCAATGCTTCTGGGTAGTGCTGGAGTGGCCTTCGCGGCGAGGGAACGCTCCCCACCCCCCGCCCCCTGCAGGCGGCGCCGTCACGCACGCCGGACACCGCGCCTTTGCGGTGGCGGGAGAGCTTGTTGTGCCGCATCTTCAGGCTCGATGCCTGCAGTGCGGCCACCATTATGGTGCACAACTACCGTCAATAAAGGTCGGGGGTGATCGCTGGGTAAATATGAACAGTTTGAATAATGCTACTCTGTGCCTCAAGGAGGGAATTAGTCGGGGACTTATGGTGAGAAACATGAAATGACAATTCCGAAGTCAACCTAATCCTAGTTAATTAGTGAATAAGTAAATGAAAAATTCAAAATTCGGTTAAAAGATATAATCTGTTGTACTGGACGGGCTACATGAATGTAATGAATGAACGAAATAATGCAAGGTTTAGAACTGATTTTCTTTGAGTGGTTGTTATTATTTTAAAAGGAGCATAATGAATCAAGTTAATTTGTGTAAGATTGCTGATGAAATGGTTGTAAGTGTGTGGACAGAGATGTTCGTTCCCCAGGCTACGGACGATGTGTTGCAGCTGAGGACTCATGCACTATGTCTCGCGGGTATGTTTCACCCAGTAATGAAGTGTTCTCGGGTGCTGACGTCATGTGGGAATATGACATTTACTTCAAAAGAATTGATTAAAATACTGATTAAATATTCTCGTTTACGAGAAACTAGTGATCGGCCGTAATTATTCAGTCTGGGATCAATTAAAAATTATTGCAATCTTAATGCGCGGATAAGGGTGAGTCGTAAATTACAAAGGTTCTCCAGTGGTACTTGTAGGCATTAGGAATCGTTAAACTAACAATTCTTCCAGAACTATGTCACAATCGTTAGCTTCGTTTTAGACGGGAATCGAATACCCTAAGTTGCTCATTACTGTAAGACACTGGTCAATCACTCCAAACGGTGTGAGATGCTTAAAGCAAAAAAGACGTTTTTCTAGAATTTCTTGGACGTTCCGAAAGCAAAATTCAGTCCATCATCGGGGCGAGATGCTCGAAGACACCTCATTCTCTCCAATTTATGGAGGAAGGGTCTAAATTCAATTTTGGACAGACGACGAAGGACACATGTTACTGGAGTCTAGAATAATTTATTTTGATGATAGTCGACTTTATTTAATTTTGTGGTGTAACGTAACAAGCTACACGCAAACTGTATGCAGATTAATTTGGCTCTTAAATTTCTTGTTCATTTGGTCTCTTTGCCTGATTGTTTTTAATTCTTCTACACAGTTGCTGCGGATTTGTTTGGGATTATCGTCCGAGATAATTATGACTCACATTGATGCCGATTAATACATATTTAAGCTATTAAATAGTACTTTCAATGTCAGAAGAATGCTCAGCCAGAAGGGGCTTCCCATACTTGTAGAAAGGAGTGATTTCTTTTCAATAAAACGTTTTTGCATGCTGGGGGTCAATTGGAGAAGGTTTTGCACCACAAATAGGCGTGCTAACTCAATTGTTTTCGTCATTTTACAAATGCACAAAAGCACTATACGAAGGGAATGATTAAACGAGGCTATCATAAGATTTATAATAAATTAATTGCCAAGCTTTCGCTTCACTTATTAAATTCGGTGGTTTTACTCGATCTGAAACGTGTTTTACTGCTACCCGTTCGACAAATTGGCGGAAGGAAATTATATCATTCACAATTAATAACTAATAAAAACGTCTATAATTTCAAACCTCCAGTTATATCAACAATTAGATTTTTCAAATGGAATAATGTTTTTGAAACTGTTCTAGAGTTAAAAGGAAGCGTGGGCATACGTAAATTTGGTCTCGCTGGCGGATCACTTCTCATTTAACATAAGTTATATGCTTATAAACTATTCTAAAAATGTTGTAACTTATAAAGAAACAACTTACTAGTATTTTTTGTAGTTCATGTATGTATGTAGTACAAACAGCTTTTTTTACGATCTTCAGGC